TGTATCATCTGCATATCTCAGGTTGTTAATGAGTCTTCCTCCAATCCTGACGCCACTTTTTTCTTCATAGAACCCAGCTTCTCGTATTATTATATTTAGATGATTTTATATTGGCTTATCTTGACAGGTTTTTTATACTATATTTTGTTTTGATATAACCAGGCAGGTTAAGTAGGCATGCTATTCTAGTTGCTATTTTAACAGCACTTAGGCACTTATGATCATCTCTTGGAGGATGTGGTAGTAGAAGTGTGCATGAAGGTTTGTGTTAATTGTTCATGTACAAAAGTTGAAGGTGGGCCAAATGGCCATTGTCATCAATCAAGTGGTTCAAGTATTGGTAGTGGCATTCACCCAGTGGGTGAGGTGACAGATGTGGCTGGGTAGTGAGAAATCAATTGCTGTTTCCTGCTATATGTGGGGAAAAGAATAAATAAGAAAGAAAAATCAAATGAAGAAGGGGAAAAGGAGTAAGTGGGTACACACACAAGCCACTAACCACAGAAGCTATGGCTTTGTGGTACCCTGACCCATGAGATCACACTTCCCTGGCCACAGAGCCTCAGGCCACAGTGCTAGTGGATATGTGTCATTAGGTCCTTAAGACTGCACCTGAGGCTTCTGGGGAGTAGAGTGGAGGGGGTCAGGGGAAGAAGGTAGACCAGAAGGACCACTGGACAGTTCTATCAGCCACCAGATGAATGAAGGTGAGAGTGATCACATTTCTGATCACCAGAGAAGGGTATAGGGAGTTACATTGGGGAAATCATACCTCTCTGATTGCTGGTCACCAGTGTGGGTGTCAGTGTTGTTCTGGGTGAATGGAGCTAGTTATATCATTCCTGCTCTGATTGGAACATTGCTTACAATAATTCAAATGGCTACACTGTGCCTAGATGGTTATCAATTTACCACTCTATATCTCTCCTCATTCACTACTTTCATTCAATTTTTTCTCCCATCTAGTGTTTTACCAACTTCTTATCTTGATATTTCAAATTCAGCATTCCAGAATCATCACTTATCTCTGATTTACTTGGTTTCTTGGGTCTTTGTTGCAGAGGGTCTTCATGGTATGTCTCTTTGGTCAACCACGTTAACTTTTCCACATGTCATCTATTCAAGATGGATTTGGAAAATTAATCAACCTCTAGTAATTAAAGCAAGCAATAAGTTTTGCTTTCAGTCTTCCCTTTGTAATAAAGATCAGCTATAGATAAAATTCCTGACATGGTGCTGTGGGTTAATGCACTGGACTGCAAGACTGGTTTGAACTGCAAGGTTGGTGGCTCAACTTCCCAATCTGAATGGCCAGATTGGCAGTTCAAGCTCACCAGTTGCTCCTCAGAAACCCTATAAAGGGTTGCTATTATTTGGAACCTATTCGGTGGCACTTAGCAACAACAACAACATTGATAAGACTTGATTGCACTTAACAACAAAATCAATAAATAGATAAGACTACTCTTATTGCAGAAGAGTTATGCCATATTGACTTGTTTTGATAACATCCTGATTTTTCTTTTAGTTGATGAGGGAACAGGTGGGTAAAATGGACTGTAGCAGTAGGAGGCCTCTGTTGCTATACCTCACTTCCCCATCATCATGAAACAGACATTGCTAGATGTATATAGTATAAAAGTTGTTGTATGATTGTAGAACAGAGACTGTAGCTGAGAACAGTATAGGTAAAAAAAATTTTTTTAAATGTTCTGGAAGAGATGTTTCAAAAGTTTGACTGAGCCAAACCTGAATATTCTACATATGTTAGAAAGTGCAGTGTATGAGTTTCAATGCCTTTGAAAATGAGGTCTGATAAAAGAGGAACAAATGACATATGAAAATACCTGATACCATTAAAATCTAACACAGCAGTGCTATAATCCACCAGGAAATGTAGCTTACTTTCTATATTTGTTTTCAGAACATGATTGTATCCACCAACAAATACCATTGTAATCATAAAAATTTAAGGTGATTTTGGATATAATTTCAAGTGACATAAATTATCTATCTATCTATCTATCTATCTATCTATCTATCTATCACTTGAAATTGAATCTATATATGTATATGAAGTACTGGTGTGGTACTGCAGGTTAACGTGCTGGACTGTAAAGTCTGTTTGGACTGCATGGTTCGTAGCTGCTCCTCAGAAACTCTATACAGGGTTGCTATGAGTCAAAACTAACTTGATGGCACTTAACAACAACAACAAACACACACACATATATTTAAAATGCTATATTGCTCTTTTAATTGAGGGAAGGTATATTATAGTGCAGAGAGAATCAGTATGTCTTCTTTATAAGCAGTATAATCTGAACCTTAATGTCTTCTCCCAGGAACCCTGTTGCAAGATGCTAACAAGAGACTTCAGTTTGAAAATAATGCGGAAGACCTAAAACGCTGGCTGGAGGAGGTGGAGGGCCAGGTTGCCTCTGAGGATTATGGGAAAGGCCTTTCAGATGTCCAGCTTCTACTCATGAAACATGGCCTCCTGGAGTCAGCTGTAGCTACTCATCAGGTTTGTTGCTAGCTATCTGACTGGCTGGGAGATTGATATATAAACTCTGACCAAACACAGAAGAAATAATGCAAAAAGAATAAGAGACCAAAGGTAAAATTTTACATGTTTTAGTTGGCCAGTTGCCACTTCTCCATATCTCTTCTGATCCAGTCTTTCTTCTGGGTACTTTTGTTAGAACACTGTGACTGATGTAAGACTTTATATTTACTCTTGTAAATGTAACACTATTCTCTCAATCCAGAGATCTTGATTCTATCTATATTCTTGTTAGATATAAGATTTTTGGTAGATCCTTTCACATTTTTGAGCCTTGACATTTTCATCTGTAAGACTTTACAAAAAGTTGCCTCTTTTTGTTCTGATATTCTGTGATTTAAAGCTTGAAAATATCTGTAATTATTTTACTGTGTAGCTAAGAAACCTGAAGCCCAGAGAAGTAAGATGACCTACTTACTCAGTGTTACATGGAAAATCAGTAGTAGCTTGAGGACTGTGATGCAGTTATATAAGATCCTTGTTTCAGGGTTCTTCTCATTCTTTATCGACTGTTTTGGTATTAAAATTTGTATAAATTTACTCCATAACTTTTTAGAGCATGGTTACTATATAGGAGTTCCTGGAGGGTTCAGTGAAAATCCAATTCTAGTTGATTTGCTTTCTCATTCCAGGAGTTCTGGATTGGATTTGAAAATTATACTTTTCTTTAGAAAGTACCATTATTTGTCTTATTAAAATAAACACGTACAATGACTTTTCTTTGGTTACCAGGGCTTAATTGAAAAAATACAAAATCATCTACAGGAAAAAGGTGACTAATATAGCTTTAAGGATAGTTCAATAAACTCTTAATAAAATAAATGACTGGAGGTAGCAACGCCATAAAAGACGAATTTGAGGTCTTCATGGAGGAACAGATTTCTGAAACAGAGAAAAGATAGTATTTGAAGAAAATTATGTAAATAATAAAAAAAGTTACCTTGAAGAAGAGGAACAGAAAAGACAGCATGTATAAATACTTGTTGTTAAGTGCTGTCAAGTTGGTTCTGACTCATAGCAAACCTGTATAGGGTTTCCTTGGAGCAACTGGTGAGCTTCAACCACTGATATTGCAATTGAAACCCACCTTGCAGTCCAGCGCATTAACCCACAGCACCACACAAAGACTTTGTAAAGGACACTTAAAATACAGTAACATGTCACCCTATCTGGAAATGGTAAAACAGCCATTCAGATTTTCCTTGTGGAGATGGTAGATAAGATGTTATAGTTGCTAAAGGAAATTTTTGATATGGAAATTTAAATTTGGAAAAGATTTTCAATATGCTCTTTTTCAAACTCCTCATTCTATAGAAGAGGAATATAAGATTAAAACAGGTGAAAGACTTTTCTCAATATTAAATGGAAGTTGGGTGGCATCCAAGAGTAGAATTGAGGTCTCCTATTTCCTTAATGCAGGGCATCAGCCACTATATTAGTGGTCTTCAAAAATGTTATGGATCCGTGATGATGATGATGATATTTGAAAATCACTCTACTACTCTATGAAGTGTTCCAAAGTCTGAATGTCATTACTGTTTACTACTCAGAGACTTTTATTTAAATTTTATGTGTTTTTGTTGTTGTTATGTGCTGTGGAGTTGGTTCCAACTCATAGCGACCCTGTACAGGGTTTCTGAGGGTGTAAATCTTTACAGGAGCAGAAAGCCTCATCTTTCTCCCGTGGAACAGCTGGTAGTTTCGAACTGCTGACTGTGATATTAGCAGCCTGATTTGTAACCATTATGCTACCAGAGCTCCTTAAATTTTATATAGTCTTTCATTTTTTATAAAGAAATATGTATGTGATCACATAAGTTAATGATTATCAGTGTTTTGTTTCAAATTGAGAACAGATGGATCAAACTCTTTACAGGTTGAGTCATAAATATCAAAATAGAATAAATAAAATCATTGTCTGCTGGTTCCCTGACTCTATTTCTCTTATGAACAATTCATCTCTTCCCACCCCCAACAAATAAACAAATATACAAACAAACACCTCAGTACTGTGCCAATAATAGTTGACTAACAAAGATGAAATGTGTCTCTTTCTTCTATTTTAGTCCACAAGCATGCAACCAAACTTTTATTTCTAGGAGTACCCTTCAAATTCCTGTTTGTTTTGTCTTCCTTTCTCCAATGGTCCAATTGAGGATCATGAGGTTCTTCAGTTCACACAAGGAGGCACTGGCCAGGGCTATGCTGTTGCATTTCTCTTTCTGTGATTTCGACATTTTCTGCAATTTATTTTCTTAACATAATTTTTCCACTAATTGGTACTGTTCCTCCTACACAGTGAATTTAAACTTTTTTTTCAATTTTCTATACAAATATAATTTATTTTAAAGAGAATGAGAGAGGATGGAAATGGAGCTGAGATATCAAAAGTCTCCCATTGTTTGCCTTAGAGCCATGCCTTATCAACACTTCCAGAAAATCAAGTCTCTGCAATTCTGGCTTCTCTGATTTTCTTGGAGCATCCCTTTAAATATTTTGTCCTTTTGAATAATGTAGTTTGAGAATTACTGGGTTATAAACTGCTCTTAGTTTCATGAAGTGTTCCTAGGTATAGTACCCTCTCACAATTTTTTCCAGAGATTTAATGAGTGGTTCTAATTACAAATCGGGTTGCGAACCTTAAGGTCAGTGGTTCGAAACTACCAGCCGTTACGCGGGATAAAGATAAGGCTTTCTACTCCCATAAGAATTTACACCCTCGGAAACCCTGTGCAGGGTCGCTATGGGTCGGAACCGACTCGAAGGCACTTAACAACAACAACAACAACATACTATACACCAGAGTGGATTTCCCCATGTACCTCTCCCCTAAATTCAAATGCCCTTCTCTTTTTAGTATTTCCTATTTCTCTCTTAGGATCAAGTGGACACCCTCACAGATCTGGCTGCATATTTTGAGGAAGCAGGACATCCCGATGCTGGGGACATACGGGCAAGACAGGAGTCTTTGGTGTTCCAGTTTGAAGCTCTGAAAGAACCACTGGCCACCCGGAAAAAAACCCTCATAGACTTCCTATGTTTGCACACGATCTGTAGAGACATTGAGGATGAGGAGGCCTGGATCCAAGAGACAGAACCCTCAGCAGCTTCTACCTACCTTGGTAAGTACAACCTGAGCTGGCTGTGTCACAAGAAAAGAACCAAGGTTTCTGCAAATTGATGCGAGATCTGGGGTGCAGGGAAAAAGTGAAAATTACTCTCTTCTTTTCTCCTTCAGACTCATGAAAATGTGTCCAGTCTTCCAAGGAAAGGTTTTGTAAAAAAAAAAAAAAAAAAAAAAAAATTCATACTGAAGAATCTACTTAATTAAAAAAAATTTTTTTTTAAAGCCTCGATGATGAGGCTTTCTACTTAAAGATTTACAACCTCGGAACCTCGGAACTGCTTTGCAGAGTTATTTTGAGTCAGAAGCAACTCTATGACATTAACAACAGGAAAAGCTAAAATGCTCTGCTGTTTGCAGTAAATGCTCCGTTGTCTCCAGTTTGTGTGCCTTACAGTATTGTGAAGGTTTTTAGCTAAGCAGCTGTGATTAACATTTCAGGCATCAAATGTTTTTATACAGGCTGTTGGTGCTACACTCCTTGTTTGATATATTTGTCTTTAACCCCATTTTTCAGTTATTATAGCTATTACAGGGACTAAAGGAGTGAAGTAACAGATAAAGCACATATTACCCTTTCCTTGGAAGTTGTCAGTTCACCATAAAGGAAAAACGGGACACATATACAGTGGAAATTTTACTCATGTGTACTAGATGTATGTAGTAGAGACAACAATGATGCCATTACTGAAGTCAGTCTGATAATATTTTCTAGAATAGAGAAGTTGAAGACTTCATTGGAGATTGGGAAAGATGAGCCCTAGATAGAAACTTGCTGGAGAAGCAATTTGAATGGAAAGTGTAGGGAAGAAATTTGAAGGGAAGAGTGGTGACACATGGATCAGAGATAGGGAGATGAAGTACAGAGCAAGAATTGGTGATATTAGAATTTGTAGGAAATTCACAATAGATAATATTTCCTGTGTTCTTGTTAATCTTAAGTATAAAATTATACACTTGCTGTCAAATTATTTCTAATCCTTACAAAGAACACTTCAAGCAGATAATAGTATGCCCTCATTGTGGTAAGAAAATTTATATTTAAGGAATTTTAGAACTTTCTTAAGTCCATAGAAATTAGTGATTGGTAAGATCCTGCTTTTCACACTATGATATAACAAAAGAAAATTAGTTCCATGAATTAAGTATTTGAGTTTAGAGCCTCCTTCCTACCTATCTTAAAGAAAATGGTGATTTCTTCATTATCTTTAATAGCATAACTAATTGAATTTTCTTAGTATGAAGACCAAAGACCAACAAAAAAGCTGAGTAGAGTTAATTATTATGGTATAAATTTCAGGAAAACCGCTCACTGCTTGGAACCTCAAGTGGAAGAATTTGTAGGTTCAAGAGTTCTAATAAAATGAAATAGGCTTTTGTCATTACAAACACCAGGATAATCTCATAACTTGAAATCCCTTTCCTCTATAGGTAAAAATCTGATTGCCTCCAAGAATCTCCTGAACAGGCACCAAGTGATTCTGGCTAACATCGCCAGTCATGAGCAACCCATTAAAACAATAACAGAGACAGGAAACAAAATGGTAGAAGAAGGTAGGTGTGATTTAGACTGGGCTCACCAAATCATCTCAATCCCTAACCTCTGTGAAGAAGTTTGAAGAATATTACTACTTCAAGGGAATTTGTAGATGTCCTTGCATCTCCCTACAAATACATTCACTTTGTACATTTCTAACAGCTAGGTATACATCTTTGTTTGTATATTCCAATAGTAGGAATCTCCTTATCTCATGAGCCAATCCTTTCTATCTTTTGCAAAGAAAAATTAAAAAAAATAAAATAAAACATCTATTACAGTAATGTCAGCTATGCTTTTCTGTAGAAGAATTCAGAATCTAAGCTCCAAAGCCCAATGAAATAAATCATGGCTCTTTCCCACTTGGTATCTCCCAAATCTGTGAAAACATCGCTGATGTTCCTAATACCTTGTATATTTGATGTTAAATAGTACCATTGCCATAAATTTCTCACTATATACAGTTCTTCTCCTGCTCTTGGTCTCCCATCTTCAGAAATACCTGCTGTTGAAATTTGATATTCAGAACTGAACATCATGTGCAAGGCAATGTAGACTACATCTGTATGAATTGAAGAATAAATTGGAGCCAGACAGGAGTATCCAGCTTTTAAAAATGTAGATTAACATTTAGACATCTAAACACAAGTTCAGATTCCAATGAAAAACTCAAAGAAGCAAAAAGGTCTGGAAAGGCAGCCATTTAATACCTTATATATCTTCCTTCTCAAGGTTGGCAGTTCAAGCTCACCAGATGCTCCTCAGAAACCCTATACAAGGTTGTTACATATTTGTTGTTGTTAAGTGCTGTTGAGTCAGTTCTGACTCATAGCGACCTCATATAGGGTTTCTGAGGAGCAGCTGGTGAGCTTGAATAACCAACCTTGAGGTTCAACCCTACCTTGCAGTCCAGCACAGTAACCCATAACTCCACACCAAGATTAAGTGTAGGTGGTGTAAACACTCTAATTAAAAGGGAACAATTACCGGATAGGATAAAAATTTTAAATCAAACAAAACCCCAAACCCACTATTGTTGAGTTGATTCCAACTTATAATGATCCTAATGGACTTTCTGCTCCCATAAAGATTTATAGCCTCAGAAACCCTATGCAGGGTCGCTATGAGTAAAAACCAACTCCACAGCACACCACCACCATAACCACCGAAGGACAGACTAGAACTCAATAAAGTTTCCAAGGCTATACATTTTTAAAGAAGTCAACTTGTATATCTTTCTTTCCCAGAGCAGCTGGTAGTTCCAAAGCACCAACCTTTAATTATCGAAGCACCAACCTTTAATTATCAATCAGGTACTTTAACCACCAGGGATCCTTGAATAAGGAAGACCTGGTAGCGTGTGTAGAGGTTACAAATCGGGCTGCTAACATCAAGGTCAGCAGTCTGAAACTACCAGCTGTTCCGCAGGAGAAAGATGAGGCTCTCTGCTCCCATAAAGATTTACAGCCTCAGAAACCCTGTGCAGGCTCACTCTGAGTAGGAACCTACTCCATGGTACTTAGTAATAACAACAACAACTATGCTGTCTGTAAGAAATATACTTTAAATATACATATTTATCTAAACAATATCATTTGCTTTTCTCACTCTCATTCCTTCTGAACTATATAATGCAGTTTACCAGAGCCTACATGAGATATGGTAATGTTATTTCTCTGATAACTAATAAAATATATACTTGTCTATTATTTGCTTTAAAAACTCCTATTTTTTCATGGGAAGAGAGGGACTAAGAGATGGTGGCCAGAAGGTAGATTTTCAGAATGTGGTATAAATTATATTATTATATATGCCTGAGTTTTTTTTATAAAAAAAAGCTGAAGTGAATAGAGAGAAATACTGTTAACTGATGGTACATGGAGGCAATTATAATCATTGTAATGAAACAAGGTGTATGATTTGTTGAATGTAAAACTGGTGATCTGCCTGTAAACTTTCACTCAATCCACAATAAAAACCTTAAAATAAACAAAAAAGAGAAACAACAAAAAAACCTCCTATTCTCATTTTTGATATAACAATATTTAGTAGATATAATCCAAATAATTAAAAGCTTTTGGGACACTCAATATATATATATTTTTTATTTATTTAAATGATTTCTAGAGCAAAATATTTGAGAACCTCTACTCTTTTTGGAAAAATAAATGGAGACAAAGTTGTGCTGCGTCTAAGTGATGTAGTCTCTAGCAAACTACTCTTGTTCTTCCTATTTTTGCCTAAAGCACTGGAATAAAGTGGACATCAGTCTAACATTTCTTGTTGTGTTTTTTTTTGCTACTCCACAGGACACTTTGCTGCAGAAGATGTGGCCTCTCGAGTGAATAGTTTAAATGAGAATATGAAGTCTTTACAGGCTAGAGCTGCTAGGAGGCAGAATGATCTTGAAGCCAATGTCCAGCTCCAGCAATACCTGGCCGATCTACATGAAGCAGAAGCGTGGATTAGAGAGAAGGAGCCTATAGTGAAAAATACTAACTATGGGGCTGATGAAGAAGCAGCTGGAGTAAGTGAGGAGTGCGGATGAACTTTTGTCTCATCAAATGGTAGTAAATTACTCGGGCAAGGCGTGTTTACATTTTGAGCCTCTTTAGATTTTGCCAGATTACTTGTAATTTCCAGAATAATTACATATGTTTTCTCCTCCTGGAAAATCCTCAGAGTTGACAGTGAGTCTCAAGAGACAGACTACATTTCTCTAATTCCATTAGATCCACGGATTTTTTTTAGAGATTGCCTAATCCGAAAAGGTGTGACCAGAGATCCATGAATATAATGATTCCATCCTAAACTTCTCAGAGTAACCTTGGGCTTTCACAAACCAACCAGTGTCTTAAAGTATAAACACATTTATTACCAAAATAAAGTCAGACAGATTGGTTGGGACAAGAAGCTCAAAGATTATCTTTGCCCTTTGTAGCAATTTCTTTGCTTTGTTTATTGAGAATAAATGGAAGCTGGAATAGTATTTATAAACCTTTGGCACTAGAAATCGTTTAAACATATGCTAATGTATCATTATACAAATTAGTCTTTTTGGTGGCATTCTTTTCCAGTTATGACATGTTTTGATAAAACAAAACATCAACCTTGTGTACTTTTTAGTTCATTTTGATTGTTGCAAATACGTTGATATTGTTACTCATTTATTAGCCCTGATTTTCTTGATGCTTTCCAAGTTAGGTTTTCAAACAATTTATATTGGCTAGAAAGTGGCTCTTTCTCAGAATTTAGACAAAACAAGCGTATTCCAAAATAATAGTAATTGAAGCATCCCTCAGTGGTGTTTGGTGTTCTTTTTATATTTCCTCTGATGATCTTTCCATCAACAAATCCAGGCTCTTCTAAAGAAGCATGAAGCCTTCCTAGAGGATCTCAAAGCATTTGGCACCAACAGCATGCAAGCTCTGCGGAATCAGGCAGAAGACTGCCAGGTAAGGAAGGATGACAGGAAGCCCACCACAGAGAAAATGAATTCTTTTTATCATGGACTTTGACTTCCTGCAACCCAGAAAACAATTGTGAAGAAAACAGTAAGATGTATGATCTGTATAGGCAGGAACTGTAGCATCGTTGTAGCCTCTACAAAGTTATAGGCTATAAACAGCTCCCCAAAAAATGTTATCAAGTATTCATTGATGCTTTTATTCCTTATTTTCTTTCTTTTATATTTCTACCAATCTTTCTTTGTTATCATATCCTTGATTTTCCTTCTTATCTTCTCCTTTCCTTTGTTTACTTTTTACACAAACATTTATCTACCATTTGCAATCAGTTAGGACTTGGAAACCCTATGCAGGGTTGTTATGAGTAGGAACCGACTATGGCACACCACCACAGAAGGATAGAAATGTAAACATGTTAATGTGTATAATGCTTACAAATAAGAAAAAAGTTCTTAAAGAAAAGAATATTGGGTGCTCCTGAAATTAGAGTGTTGGAAGATAGGAAAATATTCATAGCTGAGGTGAACCAATTTTTCTGAGTTACTAACAAAGATATGTGGCTTACTATGCAGAAAAAAGCCCTGATCTGGCACTGTAGCATAAGCACTGGACCAATAACCACAAGGTCAGGAGTTCAAACCCACCAGTTGTTCTCAGAAATCCTATAAAAGGTTGCTATGAGTCAGAACCAACTCAGCAACACACAACAATAACATGCAAACAAGGATAAAGTGCTTCTCTAGTTAATAAACTATGAGAGCAAATTCACAAAGGCATAAAACAAGTGTAGTTGGGAAATGGAAAATGCAAATCTTCAGGAATGGGAGAATGACTAGAGTGCAAGGGGTTATGAAGATTGAGGAAGATAGAATCAAGTCAGAATCAGAAAATGATATGACTGTGTCTCTGATGATGTGTAGAGGTAGATAAGTGACCCAATTCTTACTTTCAAGAAATCATTTACTTATTACTTTTTTTTTCTTTCATAGAGTGATTTATTTCAGATATCATCTCAGTTTAATTAATAGGGGATTTTGTTGTGACCCAGAGGGTGTGAGAACCAGCAGAGTCTGTGGTTTGGTTAGAAGAGAGCTAGAAGCCTGTCTGAGCCTGTCGAAAGAAAATTTTACAAAAAAGAAAGAAAGAAACAAACAAAAACCTGACTTTTTTTCATCTGTGAGCATCCAACAGGTTCCTTCATTAAAGGCACGAGTGAGGCATCTTGAAAAAGCACAGTAAAAGGAGATGGGGAGGAGCTAAGAGGTGCAAATTAAGGAAGAAATTGGGATTGACTTATTTATCCCATGCCTGAAAATAATTTCAATTCTTATCGATTTGTGCCATCAGTCCTTATAAGATCCTAAAGCAGCCAAAGCAACACATCAACAATACAATTTATTATGCCCTGCCTGACACCACACAATAAAAGTGAGAGACACAATCCCTGCTTTGAGGACCGAAGTCCTGCTTCAAGTGGTTGCATTAGAACTTGCTGGCATTCTGCAAATGTTAAGTTACTTATCTAAGCAATAAAGCTTATTTTTGAGGGGGTGTATTTGGAGGGAAGAAGGTTGTTGTTTTCAATTACCAATAAGCAAAATGCCTCATCCACATTTCCCAAAACATCAGGTTACATTAATTTCAGTTTTAATATCCTGCCAAAGAGAGAGCGAGCGAGCTAGCTAGCGAGAGAAAGTCCCCAAATATGAAGCAAATACAGCTGTCTAATATTACCGCTCAAAATGCCACTACATTAAATAAAATTCCATGCTGTAAAACTTTGCAAGGTGATAAAACAAAAATGATATAATAAATACTTATTACTTATTTAATAATAGTACTTAATTATTACTCTGATTACATACTCTGGTAAACAAATATCAAGCATGTCAAGTCAATACATATGTACCAAGCTCCTATGTTGTGCCTTTACTAATCTATACATATTGGGTGCCTAAACTAAGAAGAGATTAATTTATCCATTGTAGGTTAAAAGTAAACATAATACTTGAAAGATAGTATCAGAAGGATCTGTAAGGGGAGATACAACTGTAACTTCAATGTGTGAAAGGGCTAGATTATGGCTTAAGAAGAGGGTGTCTATTTTGACCATTTTTTCAGAAGTTCGATACCTACAAAAAAGCAAGTCAGAAAAGACTCTATTTTGGAGAGCAGGTTGATAGCCAAAGAAGAATGCAGTATTTTTCTCATTTTTAAAAAATATCTGGTAGCCTTCATGGACTGTAGATTGCCCATCTCCATAAAAAGTCTGCAGCTCCTTCACATAATAACTTGAATACCAAGGGGTGGGATGCAAAGTCAGTGGAGAACCAGGCAGTGGGGAAGACTGTGAGAGATAATGGGTCTTTCACTTCAATACACAACTTTCTGAAACTTTGATGGGTGTAATCCTTTTGGAACTTCTTAGAGAAGTATATCATCCTCCTAGTTTAAGACCCCAAAGAGTCCTGGTGTGATGCTGTAGGATAAGCACTTGACAACAAGGTCAGTTAGAACTGCAAGATGGCAGTTCAAACTCACCAGCTGTTCCTTGGAAACCCAATACAGGGTTGCTATGAGTCAAAACTGATTTGACAGCACTTAACAATAACAATTTTAAGATCCAGTGGCTTAGAACACTTAGCATGATGCTGACAAGCTATATAGTCACTTGTTCAGCCTGTGCTCACATTTCGCACCCAACTGATCTAAAGACCATTTTGTCATTTCTTTGTTGTTAACAGTCTTGTAAAGAGGCTCAGAGCCCAATGACTTCTGCCAGGTCCAGGGATTGGCTGTGGGTCCTGGAGGAAGGAACCAGGGAGATGTTTCAAAGGAGTGACTGACATACTTGCGTACTCTTTTCCTACAGGAACAACAGGCTGCACCAGTGGAGGGAGCTGGTCGAGAAGAGAGGGTTGTGGCTTTATATGACTTCAAAGCCCGTAACCCCCGAGAAGTCACCATGAAGAAAAATGATGTCTTAACTCTACTTAGTTCCATCAATAAGGTGATTTTCCTTTCTAAATATCTTTGCATTAAAAGGGGGGAGCTCTTTCAAGGCAACTCTTTTAATGCTGCCAGGTGATCATATTTTTTTCAGCCAACATTTGTTCCAGTCACTTTCTTTCTTAAATAAGTTGTTGTTGTTGTTGTTAAGTGCCATTGAGTCGGTATTTTATTAAGTAGTATCTTTCTTCCAGATGTTGTATAAGATCCTGTACATACATTCCAAGCTTTATAATAACTCTATCAGATAAGATTATAATTCCAGTTTATAGTTAAATAAATGAAATTCCACAACGCATCAGTTTGTTGTACTATGGTGGCTTGTATGTTGCTGTGATGCTGGAAGGTGTGTGCCAACAGTATTTTAAATACTAGCAAGTTCACCCATGGTAGACAGGTTTCAGCTGAACTTCCAGTCTAGGACAGACTAGGAATGAGAGAAGCAAAATGCTTCTGAATATGGCCCAAACTTAACAACGATTGTGAGGATGGCACAGAATCGAGCAGTGTTTGAGTCTGTTGTGCATAGAGTCACTATGAGTCAGAACCAACTCAACGATACCTAACAAGAACCACAACAAATGAAGTTTCAAAGACGTTAAGTAATTTTTCCAAAGACACATAAACCATGAGTGGCAATTCTGTAATATATTTAAAGTACTATACTGTTCTTTCTTTTTGCCTTTTCCTTTTTTGTGTCAGTGTTCCTAGTAATAGGGTAAAAATATCTGGGGGTTGGAGAAGCTTGATAAGAGACTTTCCATTTATTCTAAGACTTTTATCAATCTGAATTTTTAGATGTTGTGTCCATGAGTACAGAGACCAAATATTGACTATGATTATTTACATGTTTTTTCATAAGAAAACAAGTTTTGTTTTTGTTTTTTAAAAATATTCTAATACCTAATGTGCAGGAGAAAGATAAAGCTTTCTGCTCCTGTAAAGATTTATAGCCTTGGAAACCCAATGTAGGGGTGCTCTGAGTCAGAACCAACTCCACGGCATACCACTACCACAACCATCAATAACTAGTGAGTCTCCAGATCTGCTTCAGAAGAAAGGAAGAAAGTTTGGGATTTTACTGTGAGAGAAAGTTAATTTCTTAAAGAGACAAGTTATTCTATAGTCAAAAAAGCTATACTCCAGTTCTGTTCTCTCTTTGCCTAGGCCTGTCCATTTCACCACATTATCCTCTGAAAATATTAACTGCAGAGTGGCTAATATATCAATGCCCTAAATACTCTGCAAGGATCGGGTGATATTTAAGTAAAAACCATTCAGAGAAGTAAATTTTAGGGCAATCCATAGTTTTTAGAAACTCTGAGTTGGGTTGTTACTGTTGTTTTTGTTACATGCCATTGAGTCAGTTCCAACTCATAACAACCCTGTACAAGGTTTCTGAGGTGAGCTTGAATCACTGATGATGCAGTCCAAACTGACCTTGCAGTCCAATACTATAAGAGAAACAATGGAGAAGAAAATTTTGTGTAGCACTGTCACATACAGCTGCTTCACAAAAAGCCCAGTTAGATTTTAGCTCCTGTGCATGTGTTTATGTAAATTTCTTTGTGGACAAAGTTCCCTATCAGCATCAAATTATGGACTCATAGTTTTCAGAAGCTTATCTCTGGAATTCATGCAATCCTCATTTACTTTCTTTATAATGTATGGAATGTAAATGCCACCCATAAACATCAGTCTCCTTTTAGCCATCAACTTGTGCCTGTGTCTATTTGTTGTTGTTGTTTAGTGCCGTCGAGTCGGTTCCGACCCATAGCGACCCTGTACAGGGTTTCCGAGGGTGTAAATCTTTACGGGAGTAGAAAGCCTCATCTTTCTCCCGCGGAGTGGCTGGTAGTTTCGAACCACTGACCTTAAGGTTCGCAGCCCGATTCGTAACCACTACGCTGTGTCTATTTAGTTATGAGAATTAAAGAGTCTGAATTTTGGCTTTTTCAAGAACTAAGGAAGGTGTGGGATTTGTTCTCCATTCAGAACTGGTGGAAAGTAGAAGCTGATGACCACCAGGGATTTGTCCCGGCTAACTATGTCAGGAAACTGACCCATGAAGAGTTTCCAATGCTTCCACGGCGGCAACTACAAGAACCAGGCAGCATTACCGAGCGCCAGGAGCAGATTGAGGACCAGTAAGTTCTTCAGGCAGGAGAACTAGACAATATTTAGGCAAACATCGCCTTTTTGTTAAAGACACTCTTTTTCTGACTTTGCATTTGTTAGAAGATTAGCAATGTCTTTGAAAATTCACAGGTTTTAGGAGTTTCAAGTAAACTTGGAATATTTCAAATACTTTCATATGTGGAAACTATTAAGTCAATTGCCTGAGTTGAGATCAGCAACTTAATAGACCCTTATCTTCTAACTTACTGCCCAGAATTCTTTAAAGATTGTCAAACGTTCTGATGAATGCTGTTTATCCTATCAGTTGCCAGTGGCATGTGAATATTTTATTTTTATAGGAAAAAAAGATGTTGCCAGCCATGTTATTAGTATGTTGGCATTTTTATCATTTCAAAATGTAGCACTGTTTTTCTCTCTGCTCTAACACCTTTTTCCTTCTGTCACACCCTCCTCTCGTTTATATGGTCTTAATGTGGTCCTTTCCTTTTTGTTTTGTTCTTTCTCTTCTTCTCACACCATGCCTCTACTGTTTTGTGTTTTCTTTATCTTTTAGCCCACTTTCTCATTCTCTTGACACCATCAACCAGGTACCGCTCCCTCCTTGATCTGGCAGAAGAACGCAGACGTCATCTATCACAACGTTACAATGAATTTTTACTGGCATATGAGGCAGGAGACATGTTGGAATGGATCCAAGAAAAGAAGGCAGAAAACACTGGGGTAGAGTTACATGATGTTTGGGAGTTTCAGAAAAAATTAGATGAGTTCCAAACGGTGAGAAAGACCTTCTTTTCTAGAAACTTTTTGGAGGGGTGTTATGATTTTCTTTTATCTCATATTTCCTTTTATGTTACCTCATAATATATTTCATATGTTTTGAATATCCTCCTCAAAGTTACTGAGAACTCCACAGTTCAAATATTCTCCTGGGCATTGTAGGTAACTGACAGAGGAGGCAGAGGAAACTAGACCCCTGTCTTTTTAATCTACTGTCCTGGCACCCACCCACCCCCAATCTTTCTGACAATACTGGTCTGAATTAATCCTTCAAATTTTCCCAACTACCATAGTGTATTCCTGATGCTTATTATGAGATTGGGTGATGTGGAACTATGTGTCATGTGTAATCATGGGGCAATGGTTGGGTGAGAAGAGGGGAAGAGTGACCTGACCTTAAAGTTAGAAGCTTTTTAAGTGTATATTATGGATGTGCTCCATACTTCAGATATTACTAGTTCTTTTTCATGGTTTGGATAACCACTGAACATCCAGGAATTTGAGTATACTGTATTCTTGGCAGAATAGAGGAAGGCAGCTATTGTATATTACAATTAAATTTGCAATGCACTTTAATATTCATCTAAGACTGGGAAAAGATGTGTAGATAGTTTTGAGAAGGGGATTAACACTGATTTGGACTTATATTCCCATTCAGGATTTGAAGACCAATGAGCCTCGGCTGAGGGAAATCAATAAGGTGGCTGATGACCTGCTGCTTGAAGATCTTCTAACACCAGAAGGAGCTCACATTAGACAGGTAACTAAGACTCCTTCCATTCCTTCTCATCATCAGCCTGGGTTTCTTGAATCCTCATTTCTTTTCATTATACTGTTTATATTCTACAGGCTAACTAAGAACACGTAGAAAGTCTGGAGCTGGCTACCTGAAAGGTCAAGAATAATTAGTTCAGCCATTTTTGTTATCTAAAGGACTTAACTAGAGCAGCCTTGTATATTAACTTTCATTGGGTGCCCTTGGTGCTCCCACAATAGAAATCATGAGGGCACGTTGAGCAGGGAGACAAGAGTATCAGAACTGGCAATTCAGATTTCGTTTCAAGAGTATTAAAACTGGACAGGAAGGAAGTTGGGTTTAAGTCATGACTCTACCCATGTCTCATTGTGTATCCTTAGGAAAGTCACTTCATTTCTAGGGACCTCAGTTCCCACTTCAGTGAAGCAAAAACATTGAACAGCACAATCTCTGAGTTTCATTTTAGTTTTCTGTTCTGTGCCCCATTAAAGTGAATATGGAGTTCTCTCCACCAACACCTCAAAATCTAACTTTTTAAATGAAACTTTTAAATAGTTACATTTGAGCTGACCACAAATCTTTAAATTGCAACACACACTCAGTCATCCCACCACCACCACAACACACACACAGGAAGTCTAATGCTTAAATGCCTGAATGCAAATAAAATGCCTATAGACACATAAAGGAACTGTTACAGTAGAAAGAAACTAATAAAGAAAGCTTGCTAGATGGAAGAGATGGATTCTGATAAAACATACTGAAAAAGGAGATGAATATAGTTTGGTAGAGATGGTGGAGTGGGGGACATTCTGGATCAGATTCATTGATCTGGACCAGGGTTCTATAAAAACCTGATGTGCACTTATGGAATGTCCAGTCTAGTTCTCCAGGTTGTCATAACTACTAAAAATGAGTTATCAGATTGTTTTTGTGGTGTGTATCATGAGGTAAGAAGGAGAAAGAATATGCATGTAAACAATTTTATTATCTTTAGAAAGTAAGCCCTTGAGCACTTGTTACTAGGATTCTTCAATACAGGCTGTAGAAAAGTATAAGAACTCTCCTAGAGAAATGTGATCGCTTCCAAATACCTATATAATTTCCCACTCATTTTATGGAGGTTACAATGAAGTCTCTTTCGCAACATTTATTTATTGTTGTTCCAGAGATGATGGTTCCAGTCTGGAATATCAGTTTGAGAAGAAAAGAAAAGAATTCCTTTTCTCTACCACCTTGCAATAAGTGCTGCCCAAACTTAGGCTGTCCAAGAAGTAAAACTATGGAATTTCCAAAGGCGATAGCATGAGAACAAATGTGATTTAAATTCTCTATGGTCTTCTGACATCACTGAGCTATTGAGTTTTTGTCCCTGATTAAAGTATGATTTGCCTGCTCACTTCCAGGAACTGAATGTCCGCTGGGCCTCCCTGCAGAGACTGGAAAAGGAACAGCGCCAACTGCTAGGCAGTGCCCATGCTGTCGAGATGTTTCACAGGTGAGAATTTTAATATCAAAAAGTGCTATTCCCTGATTTGGCTGGCAGCAGAAAGAGCCAGATAGGAAAGGCTCTGTGGGGGAGGGGTTGCAAACCCAGAGAAGCTGTGCTCATGGAACAACACTAGAGCTCTGAATCTACCATAAGGTACAGGATGTCAGTTTTCTGCATTTACAAGTGAAAAAAATCATGATATAAAGGAAAAGTCTGTGAGTTAGGAATCACTGAAGATGAGACTCCCTCTATGGCCAACCTGTCCAGGTAGAGTTCAGAGGGCGGGGCTACAGCAAGACCCACATAGGGAACTAGTACTAAAAGTGCTGCAGTGACATTTGCAAAAGGAGGTATGGGGGATTCTACACATTTTTTCCTCCTATTCCCTGTCGTGTCTTTTTTGCCCAGCCCGGATGCCTTCAGGCTAGCGGTCGAGTGCTGACCCCACAGTTTTCCCATGGTACAGAGACAAAAACCTTGGTGGCTACTTATTACATCAGCCTCAGGGTCACAGCCTTAAAATTAACTTGTGCAGGACCCTTTACTCAAGCCTATCTAGCAAGAAAAAAGCAGGCCCATCAGGCCTGACAGACAAACCATAGAACAATCTGTAAAACCCCAACATAAAAGGACACAACTATCTCAAGAATTACACTATGAACACACAGATACCTAACTGACCTTCAGAGACAAAAACAGTGGACAATCTTTCTTCCATTAACTTCTCAATATCTATCCATGCAGTTTCATGGTGGTAACTAGAGAAGGGGCCTGAGCACGTGAACATCCCACCCACTGTTGGAGACTTCTATGTTGCACACACACTGCCTGTGTAGCAAGACAACTGGACAGTTGGCTACAGTTTTATTTTTGTTACAAAGTGGTGGTTTTTGTCTCTGATTTTATATTGCTTCTGCTTTTGGTCCTTTTGATCACACATTTTTCCTGGAAGTGGGAGCTTTTTCTCCCTATGTTACCCAAGAATAGACAGCAATCATGGCCATATAGCTAAGTTAAAAGCATACCCCATATTATTCCACCATTGAGACAAGAGACAATAACAGCTGCTAAGCATTACATGTGAAAAGAGAAGCCTATCTCCTGATCATTTCCACCAGTAGACACACAGTAAGCTTAATAACACAACAACAAACATCCATTTAATCATTTAAAAAAAACCACACAACTACTGGAAATGCCAAAAAAGATCTCAAACACAACAAACAATCTCAAAATATGTCCTAAACAGAAAAAAGTAACTGAGACAAATGCACTGGGGACAGAAAAAGGTTCCCCAGAAGAGGAAGAGCAGGTTATGGATTTGCCTGAAAAGGAATTCAGAAGAATGATATGAAAAACAAATTCAAATGCTATAAAAAGGAGTGGAGGGAAACAAGGAAGAAGTCAGGAAAATACTACAAAAGCAATCAAACAAGATTGATACAGCACTGGAAACAATTCAAAACCTGAAAAAGGAGGTTCCGATGATTAATAATAAAATATCAGAAATGAATAATACACTGAAAGGGGAAAGGAGCAGAATAGAAGAGATGGAAGCCAGAACTAGTGATCTGAAAGACAAATCTCTCAATACTGCTAAGACAGAAGAGCTAGCAGAAAAAAAGGTAAAAAATTTGAAGAGAGTCTAAGATTCATACTGGACAACATGAAGAAGAACAACTTAAGAATTATCAGCATTCTGGAACAGAAAGAATCAGCGAAGTCCACAGAGGAGATAGTTGAAGAGCTTCTGGAAGAAAATTTCCCTAACATCTTGAAAGATGAAAAGATAAACACTCAAGAAGCTGAACGTACCCCAGGAAGGATAGACGCCAAAAATAGTCATGAAGACATAAAAATCAAGCTCTACAAAATCAAAGACAAGGAGTGATTCCTAAAAGTGGTGAGGGCGAAGAGAAGTGTCACTTAAAAAGGCAAGTAAATCAGATTAAGCTCTGACTTCTCAGCAGAAACCATGAAGGCAAGAAGGCAATGGGGAGACATACAAGAAAACCCTACAAGAAAAAAAACAAAAACAAAACTGCCAACCAAGAATCATTTTTCCTGCAAAACTATCAATTAAATATGATGGTGCAATCAAAACATTCCAGGATAAAAAGAATCTAAGAAATTTGACCAAACCAATCCATCACTTCAAAACATCCTGAAGGGAGTATTTAAGACTGAAAACCAACGAGAACAGAAAATAACCAGAGATTGAGAACAGTGGCAACACCACCTGGAACTCAGTCAACAGATAGCAGAGTCCAGAACACAATAAAATTAGAACAATTAATTCAAAGGTGCTGGGAGGTCAATGGAAGATTAAAATAATATCAATGTCAAAGAAGAGATAAATGTAGGAACAGAGACCCATGTGTTGAGGATGTCAGTTAGATTACAGTATACAATAGAGTCTCTTTAATGGAGTAGAAAGTTAATAGACTATAAGATAGCCCCAAAGAAAGTTAACACTTCACAACTTACCATGAAAAAAAACTTCCAAGCAGACCAAGCAAACATGAAAACTAAGAAATAGCATAAAAAACAAACTCAGCACAAGAAGGCATACAGAACAAAGGAACGTACAGCACTACCAAAAAATTAATATAATGGCAGCAATTAATTCATATCTATTGATAATTATATTGAATGCCAATGGATTGAATGCACCAGTGAAGAGACAGAGACTGGCACACTGGATAAGAAAACAAGATCCTTCGATATGCTGCCTGCAAAAGACACACCTTACACACAAAGACACACCTTGCACACAAAAACAGACTAAAAGTTAAAGGATTGAAAAAAATATACCAAGCTAACTGCAACAATAAACAAGCAGGAGTGGCAATTCTAATGTCTGATAAAGTAAGCTTTAAGACAAAAACCAGGATAAGAGATAGAGAAGGACACTATCTCATGATCAAAGGCTCAATTGAGCAAGATGACATAACCATAATAAATATCTACGCTCCCAATGAAAAAACACCAAGATATATAAAGCAAACCTTAGTAGAAATGAACACAGAAATAGATATATCTACAATTATAGTGGGAGATTTTAATAAGTCATTTTTGAACAGGGACAGAACAACCAGAAAGAAACTCGACAAAGTTACAGAGGAACTGAACAACACAATCAACCAACTTGACCTCATAGATGTGTACAGAGCATTCAACCCAAACAACAGCACAATAAACATTATTCTCCAGTGCACATGAAACATTCTCCAGAATTGACCATGTGTTAGGTCACTAAGCAAGCCTCCATAAATTTACAAACATCAAAATACTACAGAGTATCTTTTCAGACTACAATACTATAAAACTAGAAATCAACAACAAGAAGACTAAGGAAATAAATTTGAATACGTGGAAACTGAACAACACTCTGCTGAAAAGTGACTGGGTAAAAGAAGAAATTAAACGTGAATTCATAAAGTTCCTAGAAACAAATGAGAATGAAAATACAACATACCAAAATCTTTGAGACACAGTGAAAGCAGTGCTGAGAGGACAATTTATTGTGATAAATGAGCAAATCGAAAAAGAATCAATATTAACACATTAATACAACATCTCCAACAGTTAGAAACTGACCAAAAGAGGCAACCTACAGTCACCAAATCGGGCTGTGAACTTTAAGGTCAGCAGTTCGAAACTACCAGCGGCTCCATGGGAGAAAGATGAGGCTTTCTGCTTCCGTAAAGATTTACAGCCTCAGAA